AAAAATAACTATAATGCGTCGGTAAAGTAAATGTTTCGACGCGATTCTTAAATTTAAAATTTAAACTTAAATTAAAATTGCGGCTCCCTAAATTTTATTTTTTGTACGTTATTTTGTTGAAATGGCTCTTCGGCTCCGAAAGGTTCCCGACCTCTGGATTAGAACGTACCTATACACACTACAGGTAACGCTCCGCTCACGGTCCGATCACAATCCGATCTCGTCCCAGCAACTATTTTTCTTTTTCATTCGCATCACAAAAGATGGAACTTTCTGAGAATATTTTTAATTTTGTTGTACGCGCTCCTTTTCAATATGAAGATTGTAAATAAATATTTGTTTTGCAAAAACGAACCCTTACTCTCGTTTTTAAAAATCTGACAAAAATATATGTTGTAGTCTATGTGAAATAATGATGAGTTTATGTCATCATTCTATTGGCTTCTAAGTTATTAACAAATGATAACGTGTTGAAAATCGCAAAAAAGCAGATTTTTAGCCAAACATAGATGTACACATATAAACTGATTTAAACTTCAAGAGCAAAGCGGAATTGGACCGGGACCGGACCGGGAGTGAACTGTGATCTGACCGGGAGCGGACTGTTAGTGTGTATCGGGCCTAAGAGTTACCCCCCAAAGAAAATAATTTGTTCTTATGCCTTTCGTCGTCTTCGCTCGGAATATCTTTTCTTCCAGATGGCTTTTCTTCCTGGTGTACAGGATTTCTACAAATCGAATTAACTATATCCAGAATCCCAAAAATGTCATAAACTGTGATATATTTTCGAGGCATTGCCGATCCCACATTTCAATTTTTGTGAAAATTAACAAAATGGCAGATATTTTAAATTTAACGATTGAATTTCGGTAAAAAAATTTGTTACTTTTTTATTTATATTTCACAAAATAATGGGAAAATGTAAAAAAATCGATCGTCAATGCCTAATAGATATTATAGTAAAGATAACTAAAATTTTAATGTAATTCCTAAGGTAGAACTCGAGATATCTTGTACACCGTTTTGAAAAACGCAATTCTGAGGAAAACGCGTTTAAAGTTTACTCGGTGCGTCACGGCACGCAGGTATACGAATTCATTCTCGAAACGGTACTTCGAGAAATAATTTGTATCGAAGTCTTGGAATCCATGTAAAACTTTTTGCATTCTGTTCTCAAGACTTGAAACTACTATTTAAGACAAAAAAAAATTTCGATTTTTTCAAAATATTACTGTTTCCTAACCCCTTAAAGAAACTCGTTGAAAGATTGCCGCAATTGGTCCAATCGGTTATTTCGCAATGGAGCGGATATATCGACGAATCCAAGATTTAAATATTTTATATTATTTAGTGGTAAGAATATTATTTATTATATACTACAG